AGATAAATTTTTTTGCAAGATAAAATTGTATAATTGTCGTGTCAGGTTGTTATTTAATTTGGTTCGACATTGTAAACATTTTTTTTACTTTGATTCATTTTTCATTCAAAGAACCTTCATTATTTTAAATAATATGACATCCTGTGCAGGATTTGGGTTGTTGATCTGACATAGTAAAAGAACGATTTATCGTTATAAAAATTTTTTTGTTGATTTAAACGTGCTAATAATCAAAGAAAAAAAATTCAAATAAATATAAAGTAGAATAAAACTATACCGTATTCTACCGTAAATAAGCACCACACCCTCTACCCCATTTTTTTAAATGCCAGATTAGCGGAAATAACTTGGCTAAAGATCTCATTGCAATGTCCGTTAATCTGACATTTAAAAAAATGGGGTAGAGGGTGTGGTGCTTATTTATGGTAGAATACGGTAACCAAAATTCATAAAAATTTTAAGCAATAACAGCACAGCAGTAACGATGGTAGAAGAATTTTTTTTTTATTCGTTATTGTATGGTAAGATAATGAATTTTACAAGTACACAGACTTTTGAATTGCAATCAATATTGCCAATAATCAAATCCGAATCACATAACCACATGTATCCGGCAGACCTGTCCGGATACCATTTTTTGCGGGTGACGCTAAGGTCATTGGGAAATGAAGGTTTCACAAATTTGTAACTGTTCTTGCATCTGCCCGTATTGTGTTGTACATGTTTTGACCATGCATTTGCATTACTGCATTGTTTCTCGACACTTTTTTTGTAATTTCATGATTACATCATGCTAAACCAATTAGTTTCCTAAAAAGAGAGAAAAAGTTTCTATCCGGGTATTATTAAATTACCCGAGTTATGCAAGTAATTTACCATAGTCATATAATAGCAATTTCTACCAGGGTACAATTCCTATTTAAACTTTAATTTGCAGTGTTCATATAGTTATATGTTAGTCAGCATCAATTTTTGACTTGCATTAATGTGATTTAGGTAGATAATCACCATTTTTAAAAAAAATTTTAGCCAGAAATTAATTGCTTTAGATTAAATATAATTCACTTGTACTATGGAACTTACGTTGAATTACAATATTATATCAATATTTGCAGGCGGCCGATACTTTAGGTGTTCTCGGGCTATTCACCAATAATACGATAAATGCAGCAACACGAGCTCATTGTTAATTGTAAGAGATGTACAGAACTTTTACAGAAGTTTCATTCAGCAATACACTGTTTTCTATTGTAAAAATAACGAAACTTGCAAAATAATGAGTTGCTAAACATAGAATTTGAAACCATTATAAACGGATGTCTGAAGAATTTTACCATTTTTGAAATTTGGTTTATCTATATTCACGTGATTTGCCATTGAACTGTTTGCCAATCACCATGCAGTCTCGTCCAAACACGGATTATATTCATAACCATTACCTTTAAATCCAATCAAAACCACAAATTTCTTGTTTACTCGAAATAAAAAATTAAGAAAAAATACAGGAAACGACCTATACACGCCTAATTTTATATAAATCAAACCTAATATTAACGTTAATGTTTTCAAATTTTGTCATTTAATATTAATATTTTTTATCCAATTAGAATTAGTATATAATGCATCCTGATTGGCTAAAAAGCATTTATATATGGCGCATTTAGTAATTTCGTGATGTACTCGGCTTTAAGCGTTCCCCAATTTTGATTGGATGATTGCAACAAAAACACACCTTGGTGTTCCGTATTTTTCCGTTAAATACTATGCAGATTAGATGATTTGGCGGATAATGGATCCAAGCTAGATTGGCTAATGGACTAAAATGTGGCTTAGAAGATGCCAATGGACAATGTCAATCTCAGAGCCTATCGTAATCCATTGCCAACCCTGGATCCAAGCCTTAGCTAAACAGAACTACATAGTACATTATTTCACATTATACAGTTTGCAGTTGAATAACACGTACAGAAAATGTTTGACATATGTCCATTATTTTTAATGCTACTGACTATAATAATGTATTTAGACAATATTGCACATATCCGTCCAGTTTTTATGTCTGTAATAATCCGAGTATCTTCCAATTTACTATAAATTTCTCGAAATACAGTATTAAGATTAGAATTTATTAATACAGTCTGCCCTCATTATAACGGATTTTTTATAGCGGAGAAATCTTCTAAAATTTTCTAAGAACATCTATTAGTATATTATATAACGTTTAGCGGATATTTCATTCTAACGGATGAAATTTTCCAGCCCGATCACTACGTCATAATGAGGGCAGACTGTATTACTATAATACCTTATAATGAATGTAGTTATATTGAATATGGAGCTAACTGATCTGAGCGGCGCTATACTATAATATATTAATATAAACTTTACCTCACTTTTATTAGCTATGAATGCAAATTCCTCAGAACTACAAGGTCTGATCTTTTTGTTTTCATCTTCGACATTAATTGCTTAAAAATATACCTTATGTGAAAGTCTTTGAGGGTTTTAATTTTAGTTTATGTCCAAATTAGCGGCTATTATTACTACTATTTTCATAATGGTTAAAACTAAAAGAAAAACTTTTAATACCGTATATAATAGTCTATAATTAATAATACATTTATCAATGGGTCATCTATACTGAAAGAGATCTGAGTTTTTTTTTTGCTACTAATAATTCTATGATTTCTATGCTGTTATACACCGCGTTAGAATTTGTTTTAGTTCAACAATTTGAATACAGTAATAATCCCTTAATTTTTTATTCAAAATCAATAACAAATCTTTAAGCCTTGTTTAATGATTGAAAATTTCAAATTCAAAAGATCATTACAGACTCTATCACACATATTGAGGTCAAATATTTTAAAAAATCAACTTTTTTTAAATTTAGAATACTAAAAGTTATTATATGTACTGTGCTTTTTACACTAATATACAAATAGAAATTCACTATTGTTTATTTATATATCAATTTGCCCTAGGTAATAACTGAGGCACCTTAGATATTGACTGGTTGGCATTAATTGGCACCGACTAGCCTAATTATACCTACATCCTTACCCCAACCTAAATCCTAATTTAAATCGGTTGATATTTGAGGCAAGAATGTATCTGAAGCACAACATATATATATGTTGTAGATTTATTGACTAAAATTTATTAATAAACCTAATTAGTGAGTTGCTTTTTATTATATGCCACATAACTACAGTCAGACCTCCTTAATACAACCTCTTTTAATGCATAGTCTATAAAAAAACCCTTTTAAATGCATGACCAACTCATAATATTTATAAATTTTTATCTTTCTAAATGTCACTGGTTAAAAAATTATAAATAATACTTTGTGTGATATATACGTAGTAAATAATAACTTAATTACTGGGCAATATATGTATTTTATAATATGAGATTTTGTTAAAATCAGCCTGGCTGATTTTATTAAATATCGGCCTATACTATTAACATGTGATTTATAGACATATTACTACTGATAATCATTACTAGTTGCTAAAATTTAGGATTAGAGTGCAGTTATAAGGCTTTTTTTTATATAATATAATATAGATTAGATATAAGGTCCCGATTTTAATTATTGTGAGGTTTTCAGGGGTCCTGAACATTTTTACTTAGAGTACCCAATCCTGTTTACTTAGTAGGTTTTTGAGATATAGCATAGGCTGATATTTAATCAAATCAGCCAGACTAGTGATTAGAAATTCTCTTGTAATATAGATATTACCCAGTAATTAAGTTATTATTTGTACTATGTATTATTTAGTTAAAATATAATTTTTTTAACCAGTGTGTAATACTTCTCTAAATACAAGATTTTTCGATCTTTTCATGTAATCCCTTCATGATCCCATTTTATAGAAGCTTTATCTAATTGGCTTCCTATAAATGCACTTCTAAGAAGAATGCATCTAAGAAGGTCGGATTGTATACAAGTTAAAAATGAATAAATGAATAAATAAACACCAAGTTATAACTACAATTTGGCGTTTTCTTCCTTCATAATGAGTTATTAGCTTTTAGATATGTTCAATTTTTTAAGTGTTCTGAACTATGTCTATCTGATAAAAATAAATCAAGTCTACGAATTTAGTCGCGATATATCTTTAGCAACCTATTCTAATTCGATTCTGAGTTTTTGTGATTGGTTAAAAAATTTTTATCAAGATACCTTTGCCAAAGTTAGAATGAATATAAAATATGGCTTCTTTTAATGACTAAAAGTTTCTCGAACTTTGAACAATGATATCTTGACAGCCACCCATATTAATTAGGTAATAGTTCTAGGAATTTGTTCAAAACGAAACTGGAGGTAGGATTCTGCAAGTACCTCATATGGCATTATTACAAACAGTGCCCAGGCACTATGTTTAATAGCACCATGCCAGAAACCTGCAGAACCCTAATTGAGGGTGTGAATACGTAAAGGCGTTGCATATAACATTACTTGCTGCAAATATTAAATGCGACTTTTCTATAGCACAACCAAGATTACAGCTTACTGTCGCAATAGAATATACCTTATCTTGTAATATTATAATATAAATAAGTCTGGAAAGATGCAACTTGCGATTTTGCAGCAGGCAACTATTGTTGCGTAGTGAAAACCTCTAACTACACATGGTAAATCATTAAGTACAATTGCGTGTTTTCACTTCTGCAAATTTTAACAAAGTTTATTAGTTATATTAGCTTTATCCGGTTATTTGTCGGAGTTATGGTAACAAATTATATTTTATTTCTAATTCAGGGTAAACCCTGAAAAAAGGAACAATCTCTTACGTAGTACATACGCACTCGGTTGTTTGGCACACATATTAAATAATTACTAATCGTGTAACCATAAAATGTAATGAGAAAATTCCAGATCAACAGAACAAATACTGATATATGCATGTTTACGTCCAATATACATAATAGGCCTATTCAAAAACTAATAAAAGAACTCAATCCTTCACTGATTAATTCTCCAAAACAACACAATGAAGGGCGAAAGAGAAATCAGCAAAGCTTCATTTAAATACAAAATTTCTGTGGATACACTAAGATCTCAAAAATCATATTATTCACCCCCATTTGCTACGTCGGAAAATATGTTTTGGCAACTAAAATTTGATTTGGTAATTACGAATAATAAAATTTAATAATGATTTTGATATCTAAAGTTGAAATTGACTGATGCTAAAATTATTTTTTAATGGGTATTACAAAGTTAACAAAATTTCAGCATCAGCAATTTCATTAAAAGTTGCCACAATAATTTAACAAATTAATTTATGAATTAAACAACAGGAATGCCAGGAAAATTTAGGTTATTGTTCTCTGTGGCTTGTAGCCTTGGCAAATCCACAAGAGAATGTTTCTACAGACATTTGGTCGGATAGGAGTGAATATTCCGCTACTTGTTTTATGAAAAACCCATATAAGGAAATGAACTTTGGGAAATTAGAAAACTATAATATTAGATCTTGTCTCTATGGTATGTTCTTTTTTCTTATCTTTTATGATTTATTGTAATAGCTGCCAAACTCAAGTAGATTTATAATTTATAGGATTTGCAAAATTTATCGAAAGGAATAAGCTTCCAAAAGAAGGCGAAGTGACAATCGGTGTTCGATTTAATAAAATAATATTTTCATCGGAAAGATCCACTCAAATCTTTCCTTCACCTGAATTTCCGCCTGAACTCATTAAAGTATGGAAGTCAGAATGCAATAAAAGCACAATTTCAGACGTACAATTTAATTTTCCAAACCATGATAATAAATGTGTATACGCTCGTAGTACCATTCTTACCGAACGATCTGAATACTTTAAAGCAATGTTACAGCGAGGGGTTTGGAATGAATCACATATATCAGAGTCAGATGATGATGCTAGAACAAATGATGTTAAGATACCTATAGAAAGGACGTCAGAAAAAATCTCAGAACGGCGCGAGAAATTGTCAACCTTTGGAAAATTGTCAGATGCTTACAAGTCGTTTAGATCTAAACGGTATAGAAAGAAAAAAGACTATGCAGCGAAAATGGACATTTCGTCACAGGAGATACCGACGTCAATCATTAGTACTTCTATTATGGAAGAATCGCCAATTACTTCTTTTGTACAAATAACTAACCTTAACACTTCATCAACTTCTTTACCGCAAGAAACAAATAATGTCACAACTAACATGCCTTCATCAAATGATGCAATTGACGCACCTGCAACAGATGATAAATTTAATGCATCGCAAAAAACAAATATCATACCGTTGCCAACATTGGAGCTACCACAAACCCCTTTAACACCTATTTCTTCACAATTTACTGCACCACATTCATCTACAACTACTCTTCCTTCTTTCCCACCCATAGAAACAAAACCATTTACTGACAAAATAGTGAAAAAATACATAATTACTATACCAGATGTTCACCCCGAAACTTACAAATATTTTCTTCGTTACCTCTATACAAATGATATTAAATTTTATTCATCGCCGGCTTATCATCGTACACCTTGGGATTTTTTTAAGATAGCTGATAAGTATCTTGTAAATGAATTAAGAGATTTGGCAAAAGCAAGGATATTAAGAGAATTGACTCCAAATAATGCCATAGACATGTTTTTTGGAATCGATTTGTTATGGGAAGATATGAAAGAGCTTTTACTTAACTATTTGGTTAGAAAATGGGAATCTGTCAAAGTATGTGAGAATTGGATAAAAATTTCTAAAGAAGTTGGTGAAAATGACGATAATGAAAACGTTGATGAGGATAATGAAAATGTTAATGAGGAATATTATAGAAAAGAAACTAAAAGAATGTTATTTAATGAAATTATGGAACAAGTAAAAAGTTCTTAATCAAAAATTATTACTGTATATATTATTGCACTGTATATTTTCATTTGGACTTTTTTTGCTTGTTTATGTTTAAGCCTAAGCATGTAAATTTTATGTAATTCAAAATTAATTTATAGATTATTTCTCAAATTGCAGACAAATTTGTTTAAATTTTATGATAAACTTTTTAGTTTACTCTTGAAATCAAAAATTTTAAAATAAAAATTTATTTAATAATATTTGCATTCTTTTAATTTTAAATTATATCAAACTGTGGTGTGGCAACTTAGTGAAGTAAATAAGTTGTTAACTTCTCAAGTGGTAGGTTGGATGTTCAAATTTTATTAATAGTAAAAATTTGGATAATCATCTATATAATACTTGTATTACAGCAATTATTTTTAACAATTGAGTTAAGATATTTGTAATAACAGTTATATTAGCATAACTGACAAGTTATAGAATATTTGTGTAATTGGTTATATAAAAGAATGCAAATTGATATTAAGCAGTATAAATTTTAGATAAGTTTTATAATTATATAAATTCAATAAAATTAAAAAACAAAAAGTTTAATTGAGAAGTCTTAAGTAAAGAAGTAACATAAATCTTTGATAGTATTATTGTAAAAGTTAGATCACTAAAAACAGATATCAATGTTGAAGTACTTAAATAGTTAAAAATTTCTAAATAAGAGTATTACCAATTAGATTATTAGAATAGATTAAAGAAAAAAATATCAGATTGATCTAATATATCAATAAACTAGTTGTAGTCCTATCAAGTTATTTGAATTGAAAGTTTGAAGAATAGGTAAAGGTATACCAAAGTATTAAGAATATATTATAAAATAAATATTAGAGTTTAAATGAATTCTACAAAAACATAGCAGTTTAAATAATTAGTTCTGATTACAAGTATTAGTTTTGTTATAATAATATTAAGTTGTTAAAAAGTTTTGAAAAAATTTATCTTAAAGATAAAATAGTTTTAAGATTAAAATAATAATCAAATTATAATTCAGTAATATTAATACAGATTGCAGGTTTAGAGAGTTTAAAATAGAATATTCAAGCAAAAATTTTAGATATAATATTTGATAGAGAACTTTTAGGCAGATTTTTTAAATAAATAATATAGAAAAATTAGATATATAGTCAATTGTATATATTTTTTGTAATAATTTATAAAATTATATTATTAAAAAAGATATTAATAAAAGTCAAAAGATCAAAAAGATCATAAAAAAATTATATCAAACATTTAAATTAAAATATTTAATTATAAAAAATTTTTAATTAAAAGATTACTTTTCTAGTAAATTTTATAAACATTAGTTTTTAATATATACAGTATTAAACAATAAGAAATATTTATTTTTTATATAATATAAACAGTTTAAAGACATCAAATTTATTACTAATTTTTTTAAATTATATCTTCTTAACAATAAACAAAATTTTTTTTTAAAAAAATACATATATTAATAGCTTTTAATAAGATCTATCAAACTATATATTTTGTTTTAAATTTTTTTGTTTATTGTTAAAAAAATACAATTTTAAATTTGTTTTTAAAATTTTTAACATTATAATAGAAATAAATTTTTTTAAATAACTTAGTTTGTTACACTATAATTTTGTAATGCTATTAGCTAAATATAGTTATACTGCATACTAAAAATTTAGCAATAGCTTAGCATTTGATTTCTTTAAACTATTTATTCCTTAAACTGTATTCCAGGCAAATTTGTCTAGAAAATTAAATTGTATCTAGTATTTCTTAAATAAAATAATAATTTATTAATGATATAGGGTATACTTTACTTATGAAATATATTCTTAAAAACATATTTTATAAACTTTATTATAAAACTTTTTTTAAAATATTAATAAACTTTTA